TTAGTTAAATAGAAATATTTTAAATGAAAACCCTGTTATACACAAAATAGTTGTTTTTCAAAAAAATAATAATATTAAAGAATTAAAAATTTACTTAAAAATTGAAAACTGAAAAGTAATATAAAATAAAAAGGTGAAAAAATTTTAATTAAAAAAACTTGGCGCTGCCAATTTTATTAGTATATTGTTCACAGGTTACGTAAATGTCTAAATTTTCAAATATAAATCAATATAAATTGATTAAAGAAATTAAATTTAAATTAGATTAATAATTAGAATAATTAGAATATGTTCCAATTTTTTTTCAAATATATATTTAATTGGAATATATGCCAATTTTATCGGCATACTTGATACGTACTATATATATATGTACTATATGTGCACGTGTTGTCCGCGTGCATCAATCGTGTACGCCATGTATACGTGTGTGTACGTATGAAGGGAGGCAAAATGAACAGCAGGCTGGAGTTCGCCGCCCGAGAGAAAGTGAACCAGTTGGCGGTGTTGGCGAATTTCTCGTCGCAGCGAGGTGAATAAGCGCGCCATGTGCTGCCTGCTGCTGTCTACCTGTTGCGAACCGGCAACCGTGCAACTCTCGTCGCATGGCTCTCGATTATACCCGTGTCGAAAGCAATTAATCGAGAGCCGACCGGTAAATGAGAGATTTTTGGCGAACCGCCTTCCTTTTTCGTTGGCATATACCGCGAACATCTGATTATGGACGCGCAAGTAGGCAGTCGTTACTGATTTCGCACTTTTGTCGCACTTATCTGCGTAAGCATAAAGCGTAATCCCCCTTGAAAAGAATTATTAATCATAAATTAAGCTCGTATCAAGAGAGTAAGATGTTTGGCTCTTTAAAGTCTTGCGTGAGCCGGTACATGTCTTCATTACCGATTCGCGGATTCTACTTGGACGAAATCAGTTGTGTAATAATTGCAATATTAATCATGCGATTGACATTTTGCATCCGTGATAATCCATAATATGCGCTCGTAAGATGCATCTCATTCATCTGACGATAAAATAGTTCAATTGGCTAATAAAAACAATTTTACAGTTTAAATGAGTTGCTCACGAGTATAGATGCCGCGTAGCATAGTTGTGTGTTTAATTACTTAATTAGATGGTTTCTTATCGCGCATTATTACAGCGATCACCGCTCTGTATTGGTTGGTAGCAACAGCAATAACAGCAGTTTATTACGTATGCATTCAGGGTTAAAGAACCAAAAATACGTTCCCATTTTCCTAAGAAATGAATTTGCAAAACGTTCCCAGTTTGCATTTCCCGGCGTAGAATATCGCGACCGATGTGTCTGCCCTCTGCCTTCTCGTCCAAAATTAGATGAGAAATCAAAATGAAACTCAAAAAGTGACGAATGAATAAAAATGTAAAGTCATTTGTTGAAAGCGTACTTGCTTTTATGCATATATATATATGCATGAATATATAAGTTTCTATAAGTAAAAAGAATTGTCCTTTATCTGAAAAATAAAATTTATCTCTTCTTTGAAAGAGATTAAAAAATCCACTTTTTTTATTGGTATTTTATCTATCTATATATATATATATATATATATATTGAAATATATATACACACACACGTGTATGAAATTAAATGCTAACTACAAACTTTATTCTACTGTAAAACGTAATTTCAAAGATTTTTGAACGCAAAATTGTTAAAAAAACATTTTCCGATCATGTTTATCGAAGACTTTTTATTCAGAATTAAATTTTCCTATCAGATCACAGAGTCTGACTGGAACGTCAGGGCTCCTCTGTGTGTGTGTGCGCGCGCGCGCGCGGGTGTGTATAAATTTTAATGTATATATATATATATATATATATATATATATATAGCAATTGATAACGACACGACGACTCATCAAATCGAGGAAAACCACAATCATTATGAGAAGAAAATTTCTGTAAACACGATATTCAGTCGACATAATTAATCGACAAAATTCGAATATTCTATTTGCTGGCAATTAACGAATCGATCGCCCCGTCAAATTCACCCAGTTGAATGCGCAAATGAAACAAATAATTAATCTGTAATAATAATGAATAACCTAACTCGTATAGACCATGACGAGTTGTGTCGCTAACGCACGGGAGATCAGACCCGAGATCCAATTCTCGTAGAAAACGGATAAAGGGTCGCCGTCGCTGCCACCGCCGTCGGGGGTGAGAATGCGATGCGTAAGAGACGAGGAGAGAGAAGTCAGGGGAATTGCGCCCAGGACGAAGAGTTATTGACCTGCCGCCCCGAGGAGGTTCTCTTGTTTGAGAGAAATGGCTGGCTGGCAAGAACCTTGTCGAGGACGCACGAAACGTTTTCGTCAAATTAAAATGTAGAGAATAACGCGGATCGGTCTCTGTGTTCTCTATCGACAAAATCACGTTTTGACCTACGTTTTATCTTACATCCTTTACATTTTATATTTACGTCTCATATATTTATATTTATATTGATTCTTATAATAACATATGAATGCAAATTATACAAAATGTCACGAGCCCCTTGCAAATTTAGTCTTCTACTTTTCTAATAAACCTGTTATCTCAAATTTTTCATTTCTCTCCTCCTCGATCATTTATTTACTTTCTCATAAATGTTGTCACATAAACGAGTTTAATCAACGAATGATAAACTCCTTCCCTCTCATATTTCCGACCATATTTGAGGCCAACGACCCGCGTCAACAATACCGATGGCGACGACGAAATTTCACTTATTCTTCGCCGCGGGAGAGAAAGACTTATTCATCCCCTTTCAGAGGGAAACACTTTGTCCTCTCGACACCACGTGGATGCGCACGCGTGCGTGTAGTCGATGACTATCGTTAATTTTCGAGCATCGCACAAGGGGCATTCCGTTAAACTCCCCTGCGCAAAACTGCCTTTTGTTCTAAGAATATTTCTTCAATCATGTCTCCGAATTAAAGGGAGATATTTAACGATATTTTTCATTAAATCGTTAGGTCCATTAAAATCGATAAACACGAATGCGATTGTAACATTCGGCGATTCGACGAGACGCTCTTTCGAATAAGATAAAGTAATCGAAGGCAGGCGATTATTAGAAATAATTAAAATATGTAATAAATCCCTTTATTGAGTGAAAGCGACCAAGTAGGGCGACGCTCGATTATCCCCGTCGCGTTTATGTAATACGCCGTACAAGAGAGTATAATTATTCGTCACATTACGCCGTAAATTATACAACCCACAAGCACATACGGGATATTTGTCATGCGAGCACGACAGAGAGAGAACCCCCTGTAATGGACTTCTCTACCGTTGTCGAACTCCGTACGTTATTTTTTCCATAGACTATCAAAGTATAATCATCGTTGCTCCAAGTTCCTCGACCATGAGGAATTATCGCGAAAGCATACCGTTTCGCACGAGCCGCTGGTGATGTAGAAACATAGATATTAGATAAAAATCAAGTAATATCATTTGTAAGATATTTATTTTAAATAGTAATAGTTTAATCTTTCACACTCGTAATAATTTCAACTCACGACCAATAACAACATATTTTGCTCATGTAGATTTCCATAGATATTACAACAAAAATTATATATCGCTACTTTTTTCCTATCCTATAACAGCATTGTAGCACGTGGAATTTATAGCGGCAGGTTTCTAATAATTCTTTCTAATAAATTCAAGCTGTCCCATTGTCAAATATTAATCATTGAATATTAAACATTGAATAAATATGAATTTCTACAGCGAGTGAATTATTACAGTTAGAACGATCTTTGTGAGAAACGATTTTTCTGTATTAGTAGAATCAAATTTTATAGGTAGCGACAATATGGATAGGCGCGACAAGATTTTTTTCTAAATTTCGCTGACAGTTTTAATATAAATTCCATCTTTCAAATAAAAATTCTATCTTTGTCATTTAGATAGATTAGTGCAAGACGTATTATAATATTTGCTCATCATTTATCGATCTCAATTAATTTTTCATATCTAAATAATTGTTGCTGTAATAATTGTTGCGGGACTACTTTTTTGAATAAACAATTCAAACAATCGAAAGTGGATGTATGAATATAAAGGGCTGATATATACTGTATCGCATACGAATTTAGCTGTGCATCCAAAAAGAGAAATTATTTTCAATATTTTCAACAAATTATTCTTCTTTGCCGTGATATTCCAAATTCGCTACATTTTTCATTCTTGCGCACTCAAAGAAACAGTCTTACAAACTGCACTTTTCAAACAATTTTCTCGATGCAAAAAATTAATCGAGACAAATAAATGATTAACAAATGTAACATACGCATTATCGAAAACAGAGAAAATATTTCGATACGAGGCAAACACACATCGCGACTTATTCAACACATATTCCACGAGTATTATTATAATTCTAACCGTTGTAACTTCTTTTTGAAACATTTTCGTGCTCTTTCGATAACAGATATAAATGAACGATGATGCTTTTTTAGCGGCCGACTTTCCCTTTTTCAGATTATGCTCGTATATATTTCACGCGCACAAAATGACGCGTTTTTACATTCACTTTATGCGGGCCTAATCGCCCGCGCTTGCTTTGTCAATTGTCAACGTCCGATTGCTCGCGTGTGAACCAAGTTGAACGAGCACGCGGTACCGAATAATTACGCTAATCGATCCCTTATTCGAATTAACTGCTGCTGTAACACACCTACAGTGACGAACGTCTGCGGTTGGAATTCTCCGCGAATTCATGCGACTTCGCTCTTCATCCGCGCGGCTTTGTCGATTTGCGAATAATGGACATTTCTCGGTAATGTTCGATATCTTTTCATATCTTTTCATATGATATTTCTTTATCGCTACATAATTTCTCAAACGGTAGTTTGAGAATATTTTTGCGCAATAACTTAATCGCTTAGCTCTTTTTAATTAATTATTTATGCATTCGCGCGATCTACATTTATAAAAAAAGAGAATTAATCTTGACTCTTTTTCTGTTTCAGGATAAGATCATCGAGAAACCTAAAATACAGTTCCTACAAAATGAAGGGGTGAGTCAAAGCGATAATATTTTTCTTTCTTTTCTATCATGTAAATTGTTAAAGTCGTACGATGATTACAACATTAAGCATCGCTTTATCGGTCAACTACGCTACTAAAGATTCACTATAGGAATAGCCAGAAATCCCATTGCTGGGCCAGTCATGGGCGCCATTATCGCACCAATATTGGTGACTTGGCAACCGGTTTTGGCCCAGAATAGGGCCGTTAGTAAAATCTATATAGGTATGTTTGTGGAAGAACAGCGCTTCCGTCTTCTCTTTCATAACGTTTGTCATAACTATTAATTACATAAGCAATCGTATTTCTCTGAATCTATTTAATACCTATGACGTTAGCATACGATGACATTCTACGTACTGATATCGATTTTTTCCACTTGCTGACAATCGCAACAAGGGATTAATTATTTTCATGAATCAGTGTATATCCGTCTTAAAAATTCGTATGGTTCTACTAGATGACGGTAAAAAGACCTTCAACCTTTTAATAGTTAATTAAAAAATCTGGGCAATGCCACAGTGAAAGTTATATATACTAAGGAAGAAAAATACAATAAAATTTTCACACAACGAAAAAGCGAGATATCAATGTTTTTTCTTTTAATTTATTAATATTTATTTCTCTTAATTTATCAACATTTTGGCTAATAATCATTTAATTATTTATCAATGTTTTATTTGACACACTTTTTAAATGTATCATTTTACGATATTTACGCAATTCTCCAGAAAAAAATTTGAATTTTTCTTGTACATATATATTTTATATATATAGCACTTTATTCTGCGTTATTTTCTATTATATTATACAGAGTGTTAAAAAAATACTTCAATTCTCTCTCTCTCTCTCCCCCCCCTCTCTGAAATTTCTTTGAAAAGTGTATCTGAACAACTACTTTAATTGTATTATTAATAAAAGCTTTAATACAGTAACGTTTTTCTAGAGATAAAATTAAAAATTTTGTTTCCAACTATTCTCAATTACACGTAAAAATGACAGTGGAGGTAATTTATCCCTAAAACTATCATTGTATTCGCAAAAAGTATTTTTAGCCACACCTTTTCAAGAGCTAAATCTTTTATTCAATCTTTTATTTCAAAAACAGAGTACTCCGGACATATGTTTATACGAATGTTTTTTTCTTATTTTGATCTAGACTATTGCTCTTTAAATTTTTGTAACATCTTTCCGAAACATCCTGTACATATGTATACTTTTTTTTCAATCAAATTAAATTTTTACTTGGTCATCAGAGTATCTCTTTCACATGAACGATGCGACGGCGCATCTCGCATTAACGCGAGAGAGATCTCGCAACGGAGCGGCGTGGCGTTGCGAGAGTCCGATGTCAGCCGGCCGAACAGTCGTGAGATCGTGTGTGTGTGTGTTTGTTTGTTCGCATGGCTTCCCCACACACACACACACACACACACACACACACACACACACACACACACATCGAAGGTTCCTCGGTGAAGGCGATCGAGGTCGTTCGAGCAAGGTTATACACCATTTTCTCTCGCCGCCGTCGTTCGATCTCTCAAACTAAAGACCCTTCGAACATTGAGCGTATTTTTGTTACTAAAAGAAAAGATATACAGAAAAGATATACAGTTGCCTTACTTCATATCAAGTATGCTTTATTTAGTCTAATTTGATTTTTTTTTAATTTTATCATTACGTACACAAGGACACATTAATATTCTTCGAAACTTTATCGCATTAGAAATTAGAGGGGAATGAAAGTTAAGGTAAATTAAAAAATACTTTAACCACACACACAGTAATTACGTATATCGTTTTTTGATTAATCATTATCTACAATACGAAATTATTAATTGGCTTACTAAATGCTTCCAATTAGGCCTTGATTTAATTAAAATCATAATTGACTCAAAGTTGATGAAATCAGCCCTTTTATTCATTTCGTACAGATTTATATAATTATCGCGATTGACATACATTGAATTATTTATGTTCGTTAGAAAAAAAGTAGCCTTTTCGTGCGAACATTTAAGAAGGACATTTAAGTCGCGACAGCCATATGCCACTGGTGTTTCTTAACGATAGCGACGGTTGAATCGTCGATAGAAAATCTCTCTCGGTAATCTGAAGGTAATTGACCTGCTCCCTTCGTCCTTCATCGGCTTCCCCTTGCTCTCGAACGTAGTCGTCGAGACATTGTTTATTCACCTGCGTATATGTTGCAACGATACGTATGATGTCATATTCGATAAGATAAGCTTCCATTGTTAATTTTAAAAACATAAAAAAAAAACTTAATTTCACAATCAGAGAAACTAAGCAAAATACAATTTCAGAGTCTAATATATTTCATATTTTCTTTCATTCGAGAAACTTCTTTGTCCAATGTGTATTTCTTCTTAAAAAAAGAATTGATGCTAACTACGTGATTTATCGTGAATTACAATATCGTAATTAATCCTTAAAGCTTATATCGATAGAAAGTATGTGTGACTTTAATCGCTAAATATCAGTAAAATTCTTGAGAAACATTGGAGAACGTTTAAACGTGTAACTGCAGAATTTTTAAATTTCTTATAGAAATCTTTAACTTGCACACGTTGCTCTCCTCTTCGCATTATTATCTCAGATTAATAGTAATTTCTCGCTCATTTATTTTCCGGATAATTGGTAAAGAGAGCTACCGCTTCTCTCAATTTTTCTATTCATACTACGAAGATGGTTTATTTATCTACTTCACTCTGACCTTTGATAGTCTTTCACTGTTGGAAATTCTAAAGAGCGATGCGTCAACATCGACCTTTGCGCGCATAGGTAACGCCTTAGGGCCTCATATTCAATGTCTGAATAATTATTTTGCAGGAATATTTCGTTAGCAAACTCATGAGAGAGTCCTCGGGGGAAACAAAATCTCTGACATCATTGAAAGTTGCGCACAGTAACGGCAGAAGTATTATTTCTCATGTTATATACAAAATATATGTATCTGCGATTTTTAAATTAAATACGTACAATCTTGTGCAAAATTGTATTTCCTGACGGTAGTTGGTTTTAACTTTTCTTACTTGTCAATTTTCTTAATGAACACAGATGCATTAAATCTTTGATTAATTGCAGCGCGTATGCGCGCACGCAGACATACTTTCGGTATAACAATACGAACAAAGAATAGTCCATTCAGGATTGTTCCAAACTACTGAGAAAAACTCGAGCATTTTGTTTTCTATCTCTTTCTTTTTACTTATTTCTCCTTATTTTCCCTTATTTACATGAGATAAAATTCATTCCGGAGCGTGGAGTGTGGAGAAATGTGTAAAGCGATTATTCTGGTATAATTCGTCATTTAGCAGACGTCCTTGTCACGGCTAACGTATCCTGGGAGAACCAATCTCTACTCGCGGGAGAACCTTCTCTGCACAACGCCCGTCTGGCTCGTATACGGGTGCTCGTATGCAACGTGCACTTGTATGTGTTGCGTGCAATGAGCGATTTCATTTCACGTATAACAGCAATGCTCGGCACGATCGAGAATGATACGTGTGCGGGCAATCGGACAATGAGAATAGGGAAAAGGGGGATTTTTCTTATACATGTACAAACATATGACTCTTTGACACGTATACTCGTGCCACGTAACCTTATCTCCCCCCTCCCCCACCATCATCCCTCTTTCTCTCTTTCTCTTTCAGATTATAAATTTTTCCTCTCTTGTCTTTCTCGCAGAATTTTACCACGAATGCAGAGAATCTCTATTATTCGAATATATTTAGTTTAGCGATAACAGAGATTTTTTTTCGCGCAGATTTGTATGCGACTGACAGTGGGTGCGCGCACGTGCTCGATTCTACATGTATGTATGTGTGCATTACGTACGAACGCTCGCCTTCACATTGTTGCCTTTCACTCAGTTTCTTAGAGCAGCCACTTTATTATATATAGGTATAGATTTTATCCAGCGCATTTTATTGCCATTATTAAGGAGGACCTATATAGATCAGAGCTTCGTCAAAGGTTAATAAATCGAATGCATTTCGAGATTCGTGAATTTGACGTTGCCCAAAACAGTTTTAAAATATAAAATTAATAAATTTGTGGATTTGTCCTGTACAATATAATTGACCTTTAAAATCGTAAATATTATACTAACCTTATTTTTTTATATAATAAATCTCGATTTTAATTATGTGACACAAAAATTCACGAAGATAAAAATTTTAATTTATGTAATGACACAAGAATAATTTAATTTAACAACTAGGAAAAAATAAGACATATATATAGATGTAACAATGCTGCGCATTAAAATGTTTAGTTTTAAAGTAAAGGAAAGTAGCTACGATTAGCAATGACTTGAAAGTGCTCTAATCATACAGACGGCTTTGAGATTGTTATTTATTATTGAATCATTTATATATATATATAACGGTTTTTGAAATACGTCCAATGTATTATATAAGAAATTAACGAGAAAAAAATCCTTAATGTTGTCGACATATACTTAATGTAGTCGACTGATACGACGAATATGTCAATTTCGCAATATTGTGCCGTCGATTCAATAACTGGAAACTTGGAGTTTTCGAAGAGGTGGAAGAGCACATTTCGAGAATTTGTCAATCATCGCGGATACATTCCAACGGAGAAAACTAGAAAACTAGAAAATGCTCTTTCCCGCTGTGTGCAAAATATATATCGATTTCTTCAAACCACTCGCATTTAACAGAATCCTCGCTTCTTTCATTTCAGCATTTTAATTTCAAATAATTTATACAACACAATCGACATTTACCATAGGAGAATCGGTAAATAGCGAGGTTATCATTTGCGAGATAATAAAGTTATTTAAAGAAGGCTGTTTGAACTTTGAGAAATTTCATTGATTCCAATCGATCAGACATTCAATCCGATCATGAGTGATTTTGTAAACTTTGTTTTCACCAGTTGCACAAGAGTGCAATCAGGCAATGGGGCGTGAGTCAATTCTCGTTACGTTATACCTGGC